TGAAATAAATGGTTGCAGAAAACATAGCTGTTCCTCTCAGAGGCAAGTGAGGACTTCAAAATAAATGCAAACAGGTTGATTGTGTGCTTATTTTGGTGCTTCTTTACCCCACCCAGTTCTGTGATGTGCAGTGGTAGTGGCACAACACTTTTTTCAAATTTGCCAAAGAAATTGTAGTGCCTGGAGAAACTCTTCTTGAAAGTGGTAATTCTCCCCTTAAGAAATAAGACATGCTTAGATGTGGTTATTAGTTTTGAAGAAAATAGTTTCTGAAGAAGCAGCCTGCAGAATTGAAGATTATTAGTCGACTGTTCTTTAGCTTCTGCAGTTGAACTTTATGCCTCATACCGCTGTGATGTTGGTAGGCTAGTTTCATGTAAACATGAACAACATCATTTGATGTACGCATAGAATTGAAAATTGTTATTAAGATTTCATGAAGCATTTTATACCTAGAGAAGGACCTTTGTAAAAACATATGATAAATATCTGTTGTCTAGCATTAAAAAGCAAAAAAGGTGTAGTGAAGAGAGTTCCAGGCTGCTATTGGTTTAAATGTACTCTAGAATCAAAAGTACTGTTCCTGTATCAATGCAGCATGTACCCCAGATAAGAGATTAAGACTTCTAGCTCTATACCTGAGTTAATGCGAGTATTTATTGTTTTTAGGTTGAGCTGGCGCTAGCTCAGAGGTACCCCAACCTTGTTCCGTTCCTCTAGTGTTTTGTAGGTTTAAACTGCAGAAGCAGTAGTAGTCTCTTCTATCTGTTTCAAGTGGTAGTTATCAATCTACTGCCACAGAAGGAAGCCCTGCCAGTATGGACTAGATAGTTTCCAACACATGACAGCTTACAGAAACGATCTTGCTCTCCTTCTTGTCAGGATTGAGGAGGGACAGACTAGGAAAGCGTGGAGCAGTGCAGATGTATACTGGACCTTGGAGAATACTCTGTAGTATATTAGAGGATATACAGTACATTGGAGTACTGTAGTACTCCAGAATATGGTACATGGGAGAATATACCATAAGTAGCCATGAACTCCATCATTCTATCTTTTGTTTTTCTTAAACTGTGAGTGCTTTTGTTCAGTTTATTCATTTGCTTCTATTAGAACTTCATCTTCTCCATAAGACTGTCCTGTTATTCAGTTGCATATGGTTCATAATATGAAGTGAGGAAAGGTTTTTCTGTTTGTTTGTTTGTTTTAACAGCTTCTCAATTGATTAGATTTCATGGGATTGCTCTTTTTAAAATCAGGGTAAGGGATCTACTTCTTTTCAGGGCCAACTTTTAAGAAGGTTTTCAGAATATGAAAGCACTTTTTTACTGTAGCAGATAAAACTCTATCAGAACTGGCTTATCCACTAATTGAGTTTCACTGTTCTTTTTAAGGGCTGCACAAAGATGTTCAGGGACAACTCTGCCATGAGGAAGCATCTGCACACTCATGGCCCTCGAGTACACGTATGTGCTGAGTGTGGCAAAGCCTTTGTGGAGAGCTCCAAACTAAAGCGACATCAGCTAGTTCATACTGGAGAGAAGCCCTTTCAGGTATGCTTAACTTCCAGGCATAATTACTCCATGTATAGACTGGTAACTCTAACTTAGCTTCTGTTTGGGGATAATGGTTGTCTTCTAAATTAGATAAGACACTGAATCATCATCTTAAATTACTTGAAAGTCACCTTAAGCTAACTGGGCTACCTTTTGTCTATTTCTGTGGCCTTTTGATAGAAATCAGCAAATTGTTTGTGTGTGTGAGATACCTTACAATATATGTTGTAAAGTTACCCACTTTAAGAAGGAAATCTGCTGTTACTACTCCTCCTCCTCCCCCTTTTCAACTTATGGCATATGGACAACTGACTCTAGGGGTCTCTTTGCTCCACTGGCTCATCATACTAATTTTCAGGAGTGGGTATTAATCAGTTTTCAATAAAATGATGTTCAACACTGAATCTTTCTCCATTCATATCAAGTCACATGAGCTTCTGCCACCAGAGGTCCCCAGGCTACTTAGTATGGCATTTCTTATTCGCGTAAATGTTCTTCCCAGTGCTTCGATGTCTTGAGTGTATCTGCTTTCTCAGCTATTCCTGTTGCATGTATATTTTTGTTTAGTTTCTTGGAGAAATGAATGTTTCCAGAAATTTGACTTGCAGTCCTCAAGCGCTTATAACAGCTCCAGCATAAGCAGCTATGTATCCGGATAAATACTGGCTGCTAAACATGCTGCCCTTTTGTATTGAGTCCGTCTTGAATCTGAAGCTGGTAAAAGGAGCAAATTCATCACTGAAATTCTGATGTGAAACATTGTTTCTGTTTTCTAGTATAGCTTAACAAAATACTGTTTGGGGGACACAGTGGTTTTGGTTAAGTGTTTGCTTGCAAGCTTGAAGTTATTCTCCTCTTTAAAAATTGATATACTACTGTGATTAAAACAGCCTGAAATATCAGTTTTATTTTTGAAAAGCAATTTAAGTGATGCCCACAACTTCATTTTGATTACATCAGGTTATTAAGTTCTTATGCAATTTTTACTGGCTCTTATTTTTTTTGAGAATGATCTTCAGCATCTGGCCTCATGATTGTGCAGTCTGGTGACTCAAAGGAGAGTCATTTAATCAATGATTAAAACGGCAACTGCTTTTGTTAGCTAATGGCATTATCTTTTCCTTTCAACAGTGCACATTTGAAGGATGTGGAAAGCGTTTTTCACTGGACTTCAATTTACGCACACATGTGCGAATTCATACTGGCGACAGGCCCTATGTTTGCCCATTTGACGGCTGCAATAAGAAGTTTGCGCAATCAACTAACCTGAAATCTCACATCTTAACACATGCTAAGGCCAAAAACAACCAGTGAAAGTAGGAGGAGAAAGTTCTTGAACTCAAAGCATCTTACAGGAGAATGATCGGGAATAAATATGCCTCCTCTTTGTATATTGTTTCTAGGAAAGAATTTTAAAAAAGAACCCTACAAACCTAAAGGACATGTTTTGATAAGTAGTAAATAAAAAGCAAAAAAACACAAAACAAAAAAAAAACTTTAAGGTGACGTTGCTAAGATGCTCTACCTTGCTCTGTAATCCCGTTTCAAGAACACGGTGTTTTGTAAAGCGTGGCCCCGACCGGAGGGGTCAGTTCATGAACTTGCATCAAAAAAGACAATTCTTTATACAACAGTGCTAAAATTGGACTTCTTTTCACATTCTTATAAATATGAAGCTCACCTGTTGCTTACAATTTTTTTAATTTTGTATTTTCCAAGTGTGCATATTGTACACTTTTTGGGGATATGCTTAGTAATGCTATGTGTGATTTTTCTGGAGGTTGATAACTTTGCTTGCAGTAGATTTTCTTTAAAAGAATGGGCAGTTACATGCATACTTCAAAAGTATTTTCCTGTAAAGAAAAAAGTTATATAGGTTTTGTTTGCTATCTTAATTTTGGTTGTATTCTTTGATGTTAACACATTTTGTATAATTGTATCGTATAGCTGTAATGAAATCATGTAGTATCAAATATTAGATGTGATTTAATAGTGTTAATCAATTTAAACCCATTTTAGTCACTTTTTTTGGAAAAAATACTGCCAGATGCTGATGTTCAGTGTAATTTCTTTGCCTGTTCAGTTACGGAAAGTGGTGCTCAGTTGTAGAATGTATTGTACAGGCACTGACCTTTTATTAACACCTGATAATATGTACATCCCATGTAATAGAAAGGGCAACAATAAAACAGTGGTCCTAAAGAAAGAAAATGGCAGAAAATGATCTGTAAGCACAGTCTATTTTCTTTTGTTGTCCAGAGCAATTCTAGTTCCTCTTGAACCTCCCAGAAATTGGAAGCTAAATAAACTCAAGTTTCCTTTACTTTGCATTCAATTACAATGATTTGTGATGAAATTACATAATGCCACATTAGTTGGTATACCTAAACAGAATTGGTGACTGTACCTTTGGGTTTGTTGAGTGACCTGGACTTCCATTTACTGGAATGGTGGATTTGGAGACTTGGCAGTGTTGTAAAGGAGCTTTCAGTATGCCTGGACAGCAAGTAGGTGGAACAGTACAGTAAATAGCTAAATGGGCGCCTTTGTTTAGTCAAGGTAAGGAACCCTGGAAGTTTAAATGCAATGGCAGTATAAAGTGGGGGAAGAGTAGGGTTTGAGTTGGTGATACCAGGAAAAAAAAAAAAAATCTTCTTTTGGTTAGCTTGTTTGACTAGATACAATAATGAGAAATTTTGGAACCTCCTTGGTCACCTTTTACTTTGAAATAAGAGCTTAAAAGTTCTCTAAAAGAATTTGATGGAGTTTGATGGTCTAACTAAAAGTGACTGCTAACTTGTTTGTTCAAGTGTTCAAAGTAAGAAAATTGCAGATACTATAGTAAAATGTGACAGACTAATAAACACAAGAATATGCACAGAAATGCATAAGTATTATTTTTTAGAGGAATGTGAGATCTGTTTTACTGTAAAAACTGTTGTCAGTCTTTTCTGAATTCTGTTCTTACAAGGTTCATCAAACTTTTCATGGTTATGACAGTAAAACTTACTTTTGAGTCTACTTCTGGTGGGTAACATGAAAGTAAACTTAAGAAGAGCAAGAGATTTCTTATCCATACATGAGTTATTGTGGACCCTGCAGCTCTACTTTGAGGTTATTAGGGGTAGAAAGAAAGATGGGATGTTTAATTGTAAATTAGAATGCATTAGAACTTTGGCAGTATTTTTTTTTTATAAGCAGTTCTTAAACAGGGCAATATACTGAAATGTGTATAGTTAAAGTTAACTTAAATTCTGTATGCAGTTAAATTAGTGTCTATTCTTTTTTGGAAGGAAATAAAATCAGTTCAGTCTAGTTCTAATTGACCTTACATTTCTTTATAAACACTGTATATGAAGGTGTTAGTCTCATACAGAGGTCTGCTTTCCTGTGAGATAAAGTGGTACCAGTTTTATTGAGTTGCAAGGTAAAGGAATTCCTCAGTTATCTCTGTACTTCATCCTTGAACCTGCATTTGAGTCCAAGTTTTTTTTATATTCGATGTTAATTTGAGGATTAGCAAGGAGCTAAAACTTGTGTTGTCCCTAGTTATACTGAGAGAAGGGGAGATCTCTTGAAAAATTTTTATCCAGGCTTCAGACCTCTCCTCAAATTGCCAACATTCAAGATGCTCCTGAGTCAAAGTAAATGGTAAATTCACCTCAGTTGCAGGAAAGACGGTCTTGCTTTATAACTGGTGAATTCCATGCTGAGAATGAATAAATGCTTGCACTGAGCAACTTCTGTAAGTTAAAGTACAATTGGCACGTCTTGTCCTCCAGAACTTCACACTTAGTTGATTCCAGAGTTGTTCTCTCAGACTTTCAGTGAAGAAGTTGCAAGCTTTGGGGATAGCAACAGAGTTGACTTTGAAACCACCCTTGCCAGCCTACTGTCCACAAGAGCCTGCATTTATACCACCATCTTATGAGTGAGTTCAGGTAAGGGGAGGAGAGTCTAAGGGGTGGGGGAAATGTAGCCAGCAGTTTTATAACTGGCAAAAGGTTTGCGAGCCTATGCATCATGCCTGTTCTATTGCTCGTTTGATCTTACTTTTCATGTTACCTTCTGTGGTGGTTCTGCAGTCAAAATAGGAGAAAGCTTCTGTAGCTGTGCTTATACCTAGGTTCCTGTAGCTTTATATCTTTCGGGATCAGACCAGTTTTTAAAAGGGAGAACTGACTATAGACTTCTCTAGCTGTCTCTGTTTGTAGTGTGCCAATAACAACAGTTTTATGTCTTAAATGCAAGGCAAACTGAACTTAAATACCCTTTCTTTTTAGGGGGATGGGGGGGGTGTTTTGTTTGTTTTAAACATTAAGTAGAAGGAGCATAGGTACAACTTTGAAATGGTAGGTGAATAAATTCTTAGTGAAACGAACTAAGGATTACTCTAGTCCTGTCTGCTAGGGCCTCAGCTGCACTTGTACTTGATCCTCGTTATTTTTTTGGACCAAGAGGTTCACTGTTAGATTGAGGTAGCACAGTCTGGTAATTCACATTTTTCATCTTGGCCACGATTTTTCAGTCCACAGAGCCATACGCTAAATACAGTCGAATAGTGTAGCTGCCAGCAATATCATGGTTTTAAAAGCAGAGATCCTTTTTTTTTCCTCTGCTAGTTAAGGGCAAAAGAAGCAATAGTTAGAGGGTAAAATTATTTAGACTTTAAAATGTTTGAAGGAAACTGATCCCTTCAGAGTGCTAGATGAGAGGCATTGACAGATACAAAGAAAAGATGTTTCCACTTGGTCATCCCCTGCCCTAAGGTGCGTGCAACACAGGTTTCATCAGCGCATGCCCTGGAAAGACTGGAACTGATTTGTCTTTCTATTCAGATATGATGGACAAACTTGGGGACAGTATGCAATGAATAGCATTTCTGAAAATGGGGTTCATCGATACTTTGAAAAAATGAGTCTGTATTTTGTCAGGGCTGCTGAACAAATCAGTCCTGGAAGTCCAGATCAAGCCCTGTGGAAGTTGTTACTGTTTCTCTCTAGTGGGCATGACACTAGGTAGCATACATGCCAATAGTTTATTTCAGCCTGTACAGAAATTCTTGATTACTAATTTTCCAGGAGATGGCAGTGAGTTACCAGTTTGTATAGTATAAGCAGCACCCAGAATAATGAAGTGTCAGGCTGTCACTATGAGGACAAGCTCATGGGGAAAGGAGGAGGTCCTGTGTCGTTCAGGAAAGCAGGCCTTGACAGACTTTGAACATGTCAATGTCAAAGAGCAAGTTTCCCATACACCAATGCAAAAGTAAGAAGTACAACTCTTGTCATGACTTCTGGCAGTCCCAAGTGTACTTCTTGTTCATAAAAAGAACCATCAGAGCAATGGTACGTTTGAAATGTGAATGAAGAGCCCTTCAGAGTGACATGGTTCACCTTATATTTTTAGGGGACCCCTGCATCCAAGATTAGTATCAAGTATCTTTAAAGAGAAAAGCAATGTGTTGTTAATGAATGTGCTTTGAACCCTAAGTGGCTATTTTGGTTAGCTGATACACCTATGAAGTACAAATATTTCACTCTAGCAGCAGGCAGCTTCCAGAGGTTGCTACAGAACTACTCAGGTGGATTCACTTGAGGCAGTTAGGACCTCAGAGTCTGACTTTCTTTTAGTGTGTTGCTGTTCGTAATGTTTGCAAGGCAGTTGCAGAGACTTTCCGAACAGATGGTGCATCCAACAGTCCAGCACTGCTGTTCATGAGAGAAGCCAAACCTCCTCTCCAGTAAACTGGTTCTCTCTCCGGAGCAGGCCTATAAAAAAACAAATGTGTACTTAAAAGGGACATTATCTGTGACTAACAGTTACATTTTGCAATAAAACATAGAGCAGAGGAAGACTGAGGCATAAGATAGACTCCTTGTTAAATAGTGGAAAATCCATACAGAGAAAAGCTTGATGACTGGATGTGTCCTAATGTACTTCAGCCAGAACTCCTCTCACCATTTGGCTGCGAGACAAATCCATAGGAAATACTGTTTTATTGGTTATGGTGTGTGTGGAATGACTTACTGGTTGATAAAGTCAGCTGGCCTCCAGAGCTGCAAGGTACTTGCAAAGACCTCGCTAATACTGCCAATAGCAATTTTGGCTTACTAAATTTGGTTGGTGACTGCCTAACAGATACGGCATGATACAGCTGGTATATCAACTTAATTTTAATGTGTTTCTTCTTTCCTCTGCAAAACAAAATATTTGGCCTTTGGGCACGGAATCCTTCGGTTTTTGTCCTTAACCAGAGTTAGACTGGAACGCCTTTTCTTTTCTTTTAAAGTAGTGTTTCAGATTTCTTGCATCTCATTTTGGAGAGGTTTTTGTTATTGCTTTTTCTCATCGATACTGAACTCATGGAGTTGAAGGTCCCCATGCATGGGACAGGTATAACTAATTACCTGTAACTTTATGCCTTAATTAGGTACCTAGTGCTTTGATTGAAACTGCCATGGATTTATATGAAGCCCATGAGCCCTGCAGGTTGAAAGCGCACACAGATGTTTTTCGTTTGGAACTGGATTGTAAGGAATAATAATACTGTTGCAGGTCTTCAGGTTTTCTCCTTGTTTTATTTTTTGTGTGTGTGTGTTTTTTTTAATCTTTCTTCTTGCTTGGGTAAGTTAGGGGATTTTAGTTTTTGTTCCTTTGTTAAAGGGAAGTTTTGTAACATCAGTCCTAAGAGTATTAGGCTTTGGACTAACAATCTCATCAGCTATGGGAAGCGTTCATGGTTCTGTGTATGTAGTACCTCAGTTTTTTCCACGTTGTGAAATGAAAGTGTACAGTCCCTCACTTGTGAAATGGCAGAGAAGCAGGTATCTGCCTGGAGGAAATTAAGGGTAAGAGAGCTATTTTTCCTTATGTCCTTTTAATTGCAGTTCTAAGCTTAAACTTTTTGCTAGCCTGTTTGAAAAATATCTGCAGATTCTTCCTTACGTGAGAATGCATCTAAACGCTTCTCTCAGAGTAAGTAGAAGCCGATACCTTGGAGGGACGAGGTTTTCACATGCTAAGTTCCACCTATGGCCAAGGATACCTTCTCATAATCTCTAAAAGGGACCTCTGGACCTTTGAAAGAGATATCCTAAGGCCTATTTGTGTCCTTTCAGAACAGTTTGTCAGGCCAGCTCTCACAGAACTTTCCCTTAGGCATTACTTAGAAGTAGGCTTTGGGCTAGATGGACTGACCGGTAGGAGAAGCTACCCACTGCCAGCTGGCTTTCCCAGGCTTTCCTGCCCTTACTGAAAGGAAGTATGTGTTGCATAGTACATGTTCAGTAAAGCAAATGCTTTAGGACAGCTCTTCCCTCCATCTTACAGTCAAACTAGGTAATTTTGGCTTTGTTACAGGGAAGGAACTCTAGTAGGCAGCTTTGGCCTGCCACAGGATGAAGGTAGGTGGCTTGCTTGGCTGGAACATTTGAGTATTACTAATCTAGAATAAATCTCTGCTTAAGATGACAGCTAGATCAGATCCTAGAAGAATATTAGTTTTCTCTTTCATACTAACCTCAGCCTAGCCAGGCCAACAACTTACTCTAGCAACAGTTCTTCCTTTTTATTTAACATATGTAGCAAATAGTGCATTAGCAGACCATGAGGTCCATTTTTGTTATGATTTTAGTATTTTTATCAATAGAAACATGGATATTGTTGAAGTGGTACAATCCATTTTTATTGTTATATTTAAAAAAAAAGGGGGGGGGAGTTTTTCTTAAGTGAGAAAAAGCAGTTGATTCTTAATAAATAATGAATGGTACCAAGAAGCAATTAAACGGTAAATGTGACATTTTATAGATCTCAATCATTTTATAGGGTATTATTTTTCACTACAGACCTTGTCTTGGTTGCTTAGAACTTAGTTTCTGATCAAACTATCTAGTTTAATATCACGTTCTAGGTCAATCACTTCATAACACTTTTTAAAGCAAATTGGTGAAAACTGATACCAAACTGAGTAGACAAGGCTTTTACTGCATATTATATGTACTATTATGCATATTAATTCGCTCTACATTTTGCATGTTTTCTTTTTCTTGCTGTTAATGATAAGTATTTTCCTAACCAGTAGGGACAGCACTGGGACAAAAGTTATAAAATGGTTACATTGAGAGGATGAAAATAGATTATTTTCCTCTGCCTTCCTCCCCCACTGCCCATGAACCATATATAAATGCCTGTTGCTCTGAACGCTGAAACAGTTTTCTTCTTCATGATTTCAAAACTTGTCTCCAGTAGGCTTGACCCTCTGGTTCTCTACTCACTTGCTGTGTCTTCCAGAGTCTTATGATCCCTTAGATCCTTCATCTGTCTTTGTGACTGTAGTGGTTGATATGGCATATTGCCTTGGGTAAGTTTCTGTTTTCTCTTGCTGCTTGCAAGGTAGAAAAGGGATTTAACTGCACCTTCTGCTAATCTAATGGTGTTTGGCACACTTCTGGGCTTGAAGGTGTTCTTTATCTGCATATCAAAAGTCTGACAAATGACAGCCATTAACACTTGTCTCCCAGCCTAACAGTAAATGTGTTTAATTTCACAGAACAAACATTTATTCTCTGCAAGGTCAACTTTTATATTTACATTTTAATAACTTTCTCAGTATCCTACCTGTCCTGCAGCTACAACATATATATTGTCATCTGTGAAATAATGTACCTTTTTCATCATGTGAGAGGTTTAAAAAAAAAAAAAAAACCTACATGCAAAGAAAGGCAATGAAGAGAGGACAAATAAAATAGGAATTCTGTTGTGCTGTGATGGCAGCCATAACAAGTGCATTGAATTTCAGCCAATAGATTTTCTATAATGACTTTTTTAAAACTTGGAACTCAAAAACATCTAGCTTTGGACAGTGTAATTTGTCAGTAAAACATTTTTGTAGTATAGGAATTCTTCATATTCAAACTCGTTTAGAAGTTACCTCAATTTTCCTGGGACTTTAGGTCAAAGCTTCCTATTTTCATTGCTGGGCTTGTGTACAAGTTCACTTTTTTCTCTTGTGCTAATTAAGCATGTTTCTGGCTGCAACTTGTAATTCAATAACAGGGTGGGTCAAGGAAAGATCGGAGCACTGGGACTTGATTCTGATGAAGTAGCGCAGATACTGTTGGCTACTACTTCTGAGCCTGAGCTCTGCTGTGTCCCTCCATACAACTCTGAGAAGTGGTAATTGGCAGTTTGGTTTTGGGCTCAGGTGTAGTGTGTGGAGCTCTTTTGAGACCTTTAGATGAAAGCTGCTTTAATATTGTCTGTCTGAGGCCTACTCTGAGAGATTTTTGTAACAGATTCCTGACCTTAATCTTGAGATTCTCATTCAACTCATTTGGAACCCAAAGCTGATAGCTGACTTTACAAGGAAAGACATTAATGCATAAAATCTTTGTTTCCTGAAAAAAGCACTAAGGAAATTTAATCTGCAATGGTTTTGTGGGTGTGCACGCTCGCGCGCGCTCTCTCTCTCTCTCTCTCTCTCTCTCTTTCTCTTTTTTTTCCGCTATACTTTCTTTGGTGATGCCTCTACTGTTAGACCTCCTGTTCCAACCAGTGTCTTCTAACTCCCCTCATGCCTCCTTATCTTCCCCTTCTAGTCTCCAGTCTGAGTGGTACGTGTATTATAGTTTGGAGCTTTGTGCTAGCTGATGGGGTGGGCAGCTCTTCCCAAGCAGAATGGATGATAGAGGATGCATTTTTACCTTCTGATTCCCTTCAGTTGTTGGGTAGGAGAAGCTTTATTAACATCCCAGTGTCATGATGCTTGTGGGAACGGGCATCTGGGGAGGCAGAACACAGTTCTGCCCAATGTAGTTGAATTGGCTGACGTATCAGAAGTGTAGTAGGGAGGAACTGATGGAGTGGTTGTGTTAGCCTGATTAGCACCAGTTTTGTACTCAGTAGTACCACTTAAAAAAATTGAAGATACTGTTGACTGATAAATTTGGTGAGGCAGTGTCCTGTCTTCCATTACAGTAGTTCAAAGGGAGCAGGCAGACCAATGTAGCAGTACTGTGGGACGGACCACTAGATTAATGTGGTTTTTTTTCTTCTCTACGTGGACCTGAAACATTCCTCAGTGGATTCAGAGCCCTGCTACAGTGAGCTTAACCCACACTGAATTTTGCTGCCTTTCATTAATTCCCAGAATAGAGCTCTTAACATGCATTTGAACTGGAGGAAGACAGAACTTAAGCTAGATTGCCCAGTAGTAGTACTGCTCACTGAAATATAAAGCAATTTCAAGTACTGAATCATGTCAAAAAAGACTCAGGCTATTGTCTAGCTTGATTTAATAGTTAGATGTAGCACAGGTTTCAAGCAGTTGACATCAGGATAGGTTGGAGGCTGGCTTTCACCCTCTTCTTAAACTTGTTTATCATGCTATATCAGTAATCTCCAGTGTCTGCCGCTAACTATTTCTTTTAAGATCCATAAGATCTTAATGAATGATTTTCTGGAAAGACTGTTTTAGCAAACACTGAGTAAAATACTGCGTAGCCCATTCTGCTTTATTGATGCTACTGTCTTCTGGGGGTTATCTTCCCAAAGAAACTTCACTTATTCCGAGTCTTTGTTTCTGTGCCATGGTTCAAAGCTGTTGCTCCTGCTGAGAAAGCATGAAGCACTTGAATGACTGCCCCTTGTCATGGTTAGTTGGAGAAGTGGTGGCCCATCCCTTTTCTTTTCTAGCAAACTGATCTTTGACCGAGCTTATTTCAGTTCAGTGTTTTCTACTCTTTAAAAAGATGAATTAGCAGAGCCAGGACCTGACCTCACTTCCTGTCAGCCATGACCTTTTTCATAGGTCGTACCCCCATCATCCAGCTTTTTCTGTGGGGCTTTTTTCATTTGGAGTATTGATGCTTTTCTCTGCGGGCTAACTGCTCTCTTACAGTCTGGACAGAGTAAGTCTGAATTGAGAATACAAAAAGACAATGCTGAGGACTAATTATCACCTCAGTAAGGGGAAAAACTCTTTAAGTGCAGCACGTGCCCTTTAAAGAGACCGTCTCTGAAGCTGAACAGAACACTGGTAAAAATGGCATGAAAAACCTCAATGAGCACAGAATAAAAACATTGAATGTTAAAAAAATGACAGCCTGTAAAGCTCCTAGTCAAACTTGTGCAGCTCTGAGCTAAGCGCTACCCTAATTCAGGTACGAACAGCTCCCTTGGCAGACTGGGTACTTGATTCTGATGTGAATCCAGCCTTGACTTCTGCAGTTGTGCAGCCTTGGTGCAGATCAACATGACTTAGACTGAACAAATAAATGCAGAGGGGCCAAACACCCTGACAATTTGCTACCTCTAAAAGCAGGATTGTTCTCTTAGTAAACTGCTATAATACCTTCAAGTAAGGTACTCGCTGAAAAATTAAAAAAAATCAGTCTGAAGAAGTGAGCTCAGGCAGCTTCCCTTGTTTACTTCAATAAACTGATCTACTCAAGGGACTTTCCTTCCTGGTGATGCATGGAAGGCAGATGGAGAACAAATTTCTTCAGGCAAAAGCCAAAACCCTACTCTTGCAAGCTGGGTTTCAAACAAGGAAGAGGCACCCAAGTAATACACAAGAAACTTTAAGGAACTGAAGTCAAAATTAAAAAAAAAAAAATGTATTACTTCAGTTTTATACACAATACTTACAGACTACTGTACAAAGGTGTAAATTGTCTTTGCTTTGAGTAGTTGTGCATATGCAGCTTAGTAGATGTGTTTAACATTCAATTTGAATCTCAGTGCAAGTAGGCACTAAAACATCCCCCATACCTCCAAGGTATAAAAAGACATACCAGTTTTACAGGTTTCTCCAGCATACTTTGTTACAGTGCAAAATGCTATGAATTCAGGTTTCTTTAGAAAATCCATATAAATTAAACACATATTGCACATGTCCCAAGCAAAAGTGTAACAAGTTGTACTTACTGACCTAGCTTGATACTTTTGAAAACAGTTCTTCCCCCACCCACACGTGCACTGCTTTCTCCTGGCTATTTGTGCCAAATTGTGTGTGGTTCTTATTCAAAATGTTAAATAACAGTTTATAGCTCTTAGTCTAAAAGTAATCTGTCTTGAACAGACTGCTAAAAATAAAGTAGATTAAGGTAACAAGAAAATTCTCCAGACCCCTTTTCACTCTTCCTTCCAGCTGCACTGCAACTGAACATTTAAAAACCAGTATTGTTTAAATTCATAATGCAAGAGTATTGAACACTAACTGTTTTAGACACTTACATCCCTATTTTCTGGAAAGGTATGAAACCTCCACTATTAAAGATGTACACATTTCTGAAGTACTTAAAGCTGCTAAGCTAACATTGCACCCATTAAGTTCTGAGCAGTAACATAGGTAGGACTTTGACTTCTACACATCACTGGCTGCTGTGCTGTATGTTCAGAGAGGTGGTATAAAGTTACAAACTTCGGAGAACAAAGTCTACGTGGGCTGAAGCTAGTTAATACATTCTGTGCATCCAGCAAATAAAAAAAAAATGGAGGTGAAGGCAAAGAACACCACTCTTGCTAGCTTTGAGTTACCTTAAATCCTTACTGGCTTTGAAAGTTAAAGGAGCAAGTGCACATGAGAGCAGATGCTACCCTCTGGGTTTGATATTTATGTAAAGCTGAAAGGTGAGAGAGTAGCTTAGGAACAAATCAATTCTTAGCAAACCAATATGAACAAAGACGCAGTACTAAAACCACTGACACGAAAGCAGAGGAAAAGTAAAGCATGTGGCTAGCTGAACGTTCTTCCATGTCTTAAACAGTTCGGGGTTACCTGCAAAATGCTGTCAATATTTAATTTCCTTCCTTCCCCCCCCCCACCCCCAACTTCACCTTAGAGGACTATACTTATCCCTCTCATATACAAAAAGAACGTTTCTTTTCTGAAAACACTTCTGCATTTGATTCAACTCAGACATTCGGAACATGGGTGGAAGAAAATCTACTTTCTGGTACTATGGCATTCTCCAGCTCCTATTCTGGAGGCAGCAGTATCGGTACAGTACTTTCTAAAGGCAGGTCCCCATCTTACTTGGATACTATTAGATATTGATATTAGGTCCTTAGTAAGGCCATATGTTGCTTGTACAAGTGATGAGATGAAATCCTAATTTGACACATTTAAGAAGTTTTATACAGAGAGAATATATTTACACCCCTTCTGTGGGTCAAGTGTTTACATTAAAAAACCCCAGCTGGGCTTTGGATCAAGGAAACAAAAATGAAACGTTCACAAACTTGAAGGCTGCTGGATTGCTGGGCCTGGCTCACATTCACGAAGGTCTTCTTCTGACCTCATATACATTAGGAACACTGTGACAGTAGCAAAAGTAGCTGCATTGACAGGAAAAGCACGGAGAAGTGTAGAAGATAGACCTCTTGTAAACACCCTCCAGCCTTCATTGTGGTAGCTCTTTCTGACACAGTCTAGAATGCCACTGTACTGCGTGACTCCGCCAACTCCATCTGCCTGAAGCCGGGATTTGATCACATCCACAGGGTAGGTTGAGAGCCAGGATACAATTCCTGACATCCCTCCAGAAAACAGGAGTTTGGGAATAACGTAACTGTCTTCAGCTTCACAGCCTAAATATCTGGTCAGACAGTCATAGGTCAGGAAGTAAAAGCCAAAGCTTGGTGTCTCTCTCATGAGTGTAGAGACCATGCCCCTGTTGATACCCCTCAGCCCTTCCTTTCGATAGATTTTGATCAAACAATCCAGAGAATTTTTGTAGTTCTTCATCTTTAATTTGTATTCACCTGTTCCTTGAAGCTGCATTCTTGTCTTTGCTAACTCCATGGGACAGCAGATGACACACTGAATAGCCCCTGCTGCTGACCCTGCAATAAACTGGTTTAGAGGAGTGTCTTTTCCAAGAGCACGAAGTGTATTTCCTTGTACACCGAATAGAAGTGCATTAATGAAGGTAAGTCCCATCATTGGTGACCCAATACCTTTATAGAGTCCAAAAACCTGGGGGAAGAAGAAAGGAAAAACCTTTTTTTTAACAATAGTGTTGATTATCAACAATAGTGTTGATAATATGCTTATTTCTAGCAGTACGAATACATACTTGTGTATTTTCAGAAAACAATTTCTTAGTAGATCAAGATAAAGTTTTCTGGAAAATTTTATATAGTTCACTAATTTTTTTTCTTAATAGCCAAAAGGCTAAGGCCATCCTTTTAGTCCTGATCTTAAAAGTTCAGCAGAAAAACAATTTATTCACTCACTGCTCAGATTGCTTGCATTCTCTGTAAATTAGTTATTCAAGTAACTAGTTATTTTATTTAAAAAGTTAAGTATTTCAAGTCAAAATTTAAACTTCCAGCCTAGTGATCTTTTTAAGCAAGTTTCTGGCAAACTTCTGAACATAAGCACCCAAGCCTGAGAACTCTGGTGTAAAATGCTTAGTTGTGTGCCAAAACCGCCATATCTGTTCTGCTGTCAGGTCAGATTCGTAATATAGTTTTCTCTTCTGCAATATTTGCAGTTGTTTTTTTTTTTTTTGAACAGCTTTCCCACCCTTATGATACAAAATATACAAAGATACCAAATTTAAAAGGCATTAATTTTGTACTCACAGATTCTTGCTTTATGATGGACTGAAAGCAATGGAAGGTTCCACGATAGAGAGGTTTCTCTACGTTTTGAACTTGCAGACGAACCTGTAAAAAGTTGCATAAGAAAGATATTGATTTGTATGTCAAGAGTGGTGCAACTGGTAAACTAGTGTATTGTACATATATGGAAATTTGCTATAGCAATGTATACGTATGCAAGAGCACAGAGTGGACACTAGAATGCCATATGAGCAAAATCATTTAAAAATATTCTGTAAGGGTTTTGAATTATTTTTCAGAGCACAAATATGAAGGGAGGAGGATTACTGACTCAACTTTTTGTGAAAAATTAGAAAAACAGTATGTGGAAGTACAACAGGGTATACCATTCTCTACAATTTCAGATAGAAGTTTTCCAGTACTAGCTAAAAGGAGTACTTTCTTTATCTAGCTGCCAAGAATACTTCTGTCCATGCTAAGGAATATCTGTACCTGATGGTACACAGAATTTTATAAAAGTTTATTTGCAAGTTTATCATGAAATAGGGATGAGTGCAGAAGAACGGAGACTTTCAACAATAAGAACAAAAAAATCTAGTGTCTCCGGCTGCCAGACTTAGGACACTTAATTGGGATCTTATTTTTCAGAGAGCAGATGGGAAGAGAATCTTAAGATGCCTTGCATTGCACAAGCAAAGGAATAAAAAGCCACTTGTCCCTTTAAATCTTAGTCTGTTTTTTAACCTGCTGAAAGCAAACGATTCGTGAGGTTGTGGCTGTTTGACCTTTACTGTTAGGTGTTCCATCTACCATACACAATTTAATGTATAATTCCTCTTTAATTTACAGCTCAGATAATCAATTAGCTTCTCCAAAACTGAAACAGTATGTTCTGCTGGACAGGTAGATGCTACTGCAACTGGTGACATTAAGAGACAGCCCCATTTTCTAGATAGTTTTTAACCTTTAATGAAGAAGTCCAATTCAATTTTCCCCACGAATTTGTCTTTCACACATTAAAAAAAGGCTCAAAGCTACCTAGTTCATGCAAAGCCCTATATTGCAATAAATTCAAATTGATTTTGCTGGCTTGGTGAAGTTAGAAATTGGTCTTTGATTTCTAGCCTGGAGAGCTTTAACATTCCTCAGAGATGATGTTTATCAACCATTCAACACTGCTGCAACTCCAGGGCCAAAAAATTCAAAACTTATTTTAAACAAAAGAAAAGATTATCAGGTCTACATGGAAGATTCCTGACCCTAAAATATTTTTACCCCTGTTTGTCTAAAGTAAACGCCACCACCACAATGAAAGACCCTGAAAGTGATGTGGGTACAGGATGGATTTGGGGACTTGGTTTGTCTGAATTCCATATTGACGTTAGCTTTCTTAAAGGTGAAAACAAATCTGTTTCAGTATTAGTGTTTTTGACATAACTACAGCATGTCATTTTAAGCTGTGTAAATCAAAACTAGGTTTCAGCGTCTCTTTCATATGTACGCTAGTGTATGCCAGCCAAACTCCAATGCTACAATCGCATCAAGCCTTTCAAGGTAGAACAGGGTTTTAACATATCTTAGAGTTAAAAGTAGGCTTGCAGCGGGAGTCAAAGAAAACAAGTCTTTGTTACTCAAAGTAACAAAGGTTTGAGAACAGGCGTTGGCTTGCGTGCGTGTTGAGGGGGGGATGTTATTAAAACTGCTCAAGAAGCAGATCCATAAGCAAAGTCACAAAATCTCAACAAGCTTTCATATTTGTCCCAAACCAAGGCATATTTACAGTTTTACTGCTACTGTTTTAAACCCCGGCTGTGAAGTCAGGGGACGTCCAACTGTATGGGCTTTGGGAGAATTACAGCTTAGGAGCCCGATTACTTTAACTCTTCTATACACTTGTCTTAAGTAGTTTAGAATTAGTGATATTCTGTACTATGTATGTATAGGTTTCCTACCAACATACAGCTTCCATTGTTTTTGCCCAAATAATTTGAGAAATACTGCCCAATTAAGCCTTGTTGCAGGCTTAAATACTCAGAAAGTTAAAGTACTGACACTCCAAGTCTAAGAATGAAAAACCAGATCTTTAATTTGATCACCTGGGGGATTGGCAGAGTGCCAGATAAGGTGATAAATGTACATGAAACTGTTTATGTCATGAGTATTACTGCCATATTCAACAAGCTCTTATTTAGCATGTACAACTGTAAGAAGATGGATCATTTACATAGTTAAGCCTTCTATTCTATTCATTGCCCGATAATCAGTGTGTCATTTCATCTTACTTCCTTTTTATGTGAAATCATTGCTACTAAGGCTTTAAGTCAAGTAGTAACATGCTGTAATTTATCATCACTAAGGACTTGTACAAAGGTATCCAAGACTAAACAACAAAAAAAAAAGACCCCAAACATTTAATAGCATGTGAAGTAAGCGATTCAGAAGTTTTTGAGCAATGAAGACGTTCGCCATACGTTACGGATAGGAGCTCAACAGCACTGTGCCTGATATTTAGTTTTAGAGCCACTGTGCGTGGAAGCATATACAGGGAGAAATGCATGCCAGAAAGAAGGTCCAGAATAAGACTTTACATTAAAAAAAGGGATATTTAAACCCCACTCCCTCCATGTCATAGCTGTATAAGAGGGACACATCAGTTTAAAAATAAAAAGCTTCATATGTCTTTTAGATTTGTATTTGAACTAATACATTTTGGAATAAATTAAGACTGAGAGAAACAGAAGTGTTCACCTGGGCTATACTTACTAGGTAACTCTCCCGTGATGAGGCTTATCTGTCATCTACAACAAAGTAACACTTTTGCTGTTAATGAAGACAGCCCCTAGCTCAGAAAGTAAAGGCAGTTAAAAGCAAAAAAGCAATTTTAAACATTACATCAACAAACCAGGGATAGGGAGTTTACCATTTCTGAGATCAGCTCAGTTGCGGGTTTCTCACTGCAACTTCAAAGATTTAATCTCTCCCTGCGTGTCCCACCATCCCCCTCCCCCCCTCTCATATTTGATCCATGGGAAACATGATCACTGGCAAAGAAACCTTGAAGTCAAGGTGGAAGTAAAATTCTAGCTTGATCTAAGCAGCCCTCCCAGCGTTCAGTTATGTTAAAACCTTAAAATCTCATGTGGCTATCAACTAGCCCTTTAAACACTGCAGAACTATAAGAAGGGTCAATCTTAACAAATATATATATATATATATACACACACACACACAACAACTTATACAATATCTTTATTTTTTAAGAGACTGGTTATAGTGTTACTTCTCCCACATACAGTAGTGACTATGCCAGCTAGTAACACAATCAGTATTTTCTCTAACAAAGGGTAGATAATGCTGTCCCTTCTAATGGTATAAAAATACAGACTGCCACCCTGGATGTAATAAAATGATTAAAATTATCTGGAAACAAACTGTTCTGCTCTACTGTACATAAAGATGCTTTTTCTGAAGCCAACATGGTTTTTTTGTGCATTAATACATCTGCTAGAACTACTAGCAGTAGAGCTGCAATTTTGTAGACACTTAAATGTTTAGTTTCATGCACTGTAAGTCGTTCCACTTCAAAAAAAAAGCAAAAATACACATGTTTAACTTTAGTCTGAGCACAGAATTTTAGTAGTTTTGCTGGCTTTGGTGAAATGACCTGTCACCTTAAGTTAAACACATAAGACTCTGCAGGGGTCAGGGTGGGAGGAAGAGTGAGAGAGAGACAACCTTCCACGTACCACCTTAAAAAAAAAAAAAAAAGTGCAAGTCTGAATAATACAATTCCTAAAAATATTTACTGGAAATCAACTGAATTACTTAACAATCAAATTTACCATAGGCTGAGAAACATACATACAGTATTTACTTATTTGAACAGCTTGCACTTGACAGACAAGAACTAGTATCCACTAGCTAGGAAAATCCGTCCTGTATTGATATAACCATGTGGCTAGAATATACAATATGGTCATGACCTCTGTAATACCATCAGCCCTTTGCACATCCAAATTCAGTAGGGAAGATGTGTTCCAAATATAGCTATAGCGAGTGGCATGCTGTCTGCTGCAGGCAAGTGATCCGGTGTATTAATTTAGTAGTGAATAAACCGGAGTCCCTGTACTATTCTTCCAGTGAGAGACTTTGGAGAAGGCAGCCAAAAAGTGACTTAAGTCATCATCCCATCTTGAAAAATGGGCTTGGACACCTGGGGTCCTGGTTGAAGGGCCTTCCATAAGACCTTAAAAATTTCCAGAAAAATCTTATCTTTGAACAGCTTAGCTACTCTTAGTATAGGCATGCATAACACATACCACTACAGGACTGTCAGAAAAAAAAAATTTGGGAAGTTAAAAAAAATAAAAACAAACCTTAAAAAAAAAATTCCTAAAGGGAGGAAAAAGGCCCCAGACAAGCTTCATGCTATGGGTATTTGTACACTTACACCCATTGGCTAGTGTAACAAATTAACGCTTGAAGAGTGAGTAGCAGAGCTTGGGAAAAACAACAACAACAAATTTTTCAACCTAGTAACACAGTAGGTTACATGTACAAATGCAGGTACAGGCTGTTTTAGCAATTAGTGATAAACAGCTGCAGAGAAACAAGCTTAGAACAAAATTAAGTTAAATGTAAGATCATATTTTCAAATGCAGTGATGTTGTTATACTGATAAACTTGTAGTTTAGGCTAGTTTGTGTCACGTTACTGGGTTGAGTTACACACACAAATATTTTTCACTTCTGAAGATCTGGAGACTCTGCAAGTCTATAAACAATAGTTCAAGAAGCTTGCTCCAAGCTTTCAGTCATAGCTTCTACAGCATCTGGGGATTTTTTTCCTCCCCCATTCCTTGGAAAAACTTCAAGTTTTCTACCTAGAGACAAAAGAATTTCACGATCAACCCACCTTAACAGTGTCAAATGGGTGTCCTACAAGCACTCCGGCAGCACCTGAAACAAAACAAATAGTACATTTATGACTGTTTTCTTCCTGGATCTGGAGCTACAGTCATCCTAGCGTGAGTACTAATCTGAGGTAGAAGTACACAGTGTTACTGGCACGCCAGCTAAAGAGCTTACTAGCAAGTCAGAAGATAGCGATCCGAGTTCAGGCCTTCAGGCAGGAACTGGATGCCTTTACGCTTTAGTCAAGCTGCTGAGCTCCAGACAGGGGTGAGGTGTGTGACCACTGAGCTACGTCACAGGGGAGATGCAATAGGGATTCCTGGCCTCGACCAAAAACAAATCCAGTAGGTAGAAATTACAGATTTCCTTTGAAGCAGAATATTTCATGTACATGCCATCTTTACTCCATGGAAGTGTAAAAAATCGGGAGGCTTCTGTAAAGGAGCAAGAAAACCCCGGTTGCCTGCCCTCAGCCTTTCCAGATGTGACGGTAGCACCTGCAGAAGTAATATGCATTGCCCAAAACCTTTGATTCTAGTATCAAAGGAATTTTTGGAAGCCATATGCTGATCCATTAGTTAACTGTTTGATCTCAATGCATGCATTTTGCATGAAAAGACACAAGTACTAGCTCAAAACAAGAGATCCTCTAGCTCCATTTTTTCAGTGAGCCAAAATGAAAGTTAAATCCATTTATGACCTCGGACAACAGCACAAACAGTGCTTCAGTGTACCTTCACACACTTGCAGAATGATACTGTCCTTCCCTCCCTGCCCCCCCAAGGAGATGGGGCAGAAATGCAGTGCCCCTTCTATGCTCATGCAAAAGGATGAGGTAGTCCAGGTTGTTCAAGGACATTGCAAGGGCCAGCAGATGAGCAAGAGAGTCCAACTGGCAAACACAGCCGTGTGCGCTGCCTGTGAAAAGTCCAATGGAACGACTGAGCGTGCCGCAGTGCATCCTTGCAAGACAGGGGTTGCTAGGATGAAGTCAGACAGAAGATGCCAAACCATCTCCCTGGCAGGTTGGCAAGGAGATATGACAAAAGACAAATGATCGAGAAGATGCATGAATAAATGGTCTTCTCCTGGGTGGAATTTAACAACTGCTAAAAATTAAAATTAAAAAAAAAATAAAAGAAAAGGCCATAAGCGGATACCTAGGGAAGGGTGAGAACAAGACAAGCATACATATGCTTTCCCCGCGGAACTCCAGGCTAAAAACGTTTCCAGTTCAGAGGGCTCCCTGAGCCCGCTGCTGCCTCTTCGGTAGCGCTGCGCTGCGCTCCGCT